GGGGGGGGGGGGGGGGGGGGGGGGGGGGGGGGGGGGGGGGGGGGGGGGTGTAGGTGGGGGGGGGGGGGGGCGGGGGAGGGCAGGGCAGGGCAGGGCAGAACAGAACAGAACAGAACAGAATAGAATAACAGAGTTAGAAGGGACCTTGGAGGTCTTCTAGTCCAACCCCCTGCTTAGGCAGGAAACTCTGCACCTCTTCAGACAAATGGTTATCTAACATCTTCTTAAAAACTCCTATGGTTATAGGGAAAAGCAGCTCTTGAATTCCACAGAGAAGATATGGTTGGGCCTATGACTCACCCGCTACCACCCCAATCATATTAACCTGGACACAAACCTGTAGGATTTTGTAGGGACCTACTAATGTTGATATCTGGACGTCGATGTCCCTGTCAGCCCCATCAACAAGAGCCAAAAGGTTGTCTTTCCTTCCGCAGCTGTAGTTGGGAATATTAGCTTCTCCAATAGAGAGCATGTCCAGCAAGGCCTCTGAAGTGCCTAATTCACTCAAATAGTTATCATGAATGTTGTAGCCAAGTGTGAGATTGTGCAGGAGCTTGTGATTTTTATTGACTGTTTGAATATTGAAAATAAAACGTACTACTCCTGCCATATCATAAGGTAAGCTAGCGTAAAAGAATACACACGTTAACATCAGCATCACAAACAGCAATAACAAAATAGATTTCTTTTGCTATTTAATCCTCTTTTTCTCCACAAGACTACCGAGTCTTAAACTAATATTAATCCAGAACCAGAGGCAAAGAATATTCACCCCTTACCATGTAATAATTGTGAATGTTGAGAAGAAGGGATTAAGCTAGTCCTCCCCCAATGTTTAAATCACAAATAAATCATAATAAATAGCAGTACTCATTTTCATCACCCCAATTAACAGGTTACAAAGTAACCCCATCATTAAGTAGAACAGAAAGGGAAGAGCAAGTTTCATAAGTAACTCAAAAAAGTCATTCTAAAAATAAGTCATCCTCTATTCCAATAAACATCAGGCATTGAATGTCAACAAGTGTTTATGGAATATAGAAATGAGCTGGAGCAGGGGAAACTACAACAATCATCACTTTTAGCAGAAGTCATTATTCCTATCATAAATTCAGGATTGGACGGGGAGAAGAAAATAATCTGAACTTCTTTCAGGGTTTTTTTTTCCCTGCCTCATCTTTGGATGTGAGTTTCTTCCACAAAAAGAAAGCAAAAGATGGAAGCCATAGAAATCAAAACAATTCAAGAAATCAATTCTCTGCTATAAAGGAGAAAGTGGAATAAGAAGAAAAGAATGAGAGTGTTAGAACTGCAAACAGAGGGGATGCGACTCCATCACACTGAATGACGTACAAGTGATACTGACTAGAAGGAACCAGGTTGAAAGTCAACTTTGTGGGCAGTCTTGTCAGTGTCCTGCTGACTATACTGATGAGATGGTCTCCAGGCTTGTAATAGCTACGTGGCTTTTTTCTCTCTTCGAAATTCAGTGGACACTTCATTCTCAGTTTCCCAGAGACTGGCTGAAACAACAGCAGTAGCAGAACCAAAAACAGGTGGCCCATAATGCATGGCCCTTCACGTTTCTAAAGAAGAAGTAGAATTCAAAGCACTCTCACAAGATGGACTTATCCGGTGGCTTTCCTGATTCAAACAGAGACAAGCGAAGCTCCACCTGGAAAGAGAGAACATACATTCAAGAGCACAGCTCCTGCCTTTTATTGAAAGTACAGCCACAAAGAGGGGCGTATCCCTTTTGAATGCAAGATTGCTTCCGTGTTGCTTTAGTCTCATGTTTACATCAAAGGCAGTTAGTGGATAAGTAGCAGAGGTATTCTTGATGATCGAGATTGATAATTACAGTGAGAGGCCATTTGTCCTCTGGGGCTTCTGAATGGCTTTTGTGTGAGGAGTAACGGCTGGAGAAAAGCATATTAGTGAAAAGTCACAGATTCACCCATGGGGAAACTGTTCTGTAGTGACGTTGGTCCTTCCTGCCAGAGTATGTATAGGTGGTGATGCCAGAGGAAGATGGTTCAATACCCAGAGAACTTACTTCTGCTGTCCTTCAACATGATGTCTTGTCTTAGAGACTGCTGGAGAAAGTCACTCAGAGCTATTAAGACATTTAGCTCTACTGCTGCCCTTCTTCTAAGGCCAGGGAAGCCATCAATACTCTACAACCCTGCCTAATGCAGAGATTAGGCGCCAGTTGGGATTTTCTTTTCTATGAGATCGCCATACATTAATCCTAAATTAGATTTTAAAATTCCTTATCTTGTGCCTGCAATTTCATTTCCCATCTGTTCTAGAAATACACATTTTTTAAATTGAGAATTGACTAAGAGGCAGGAAAGTGACTGCCCATGGACTGTAATGTTGAGTACATAGGAAGAAAGAGCTGATGGAAATTTTCCTCCTGTTTTTTCTTTCCTTTGCACGTTCTGTGTTGTCTTTTTGTATTAGTGCAGATAGCTAGAGTGGATAGAATTTTTTCCCTTAACACTCTGTTACCTTTCAGTATTTACATAAGAACCTGAGATCACAAATGAAGGTGAATATACATGTCCCAGGATAATGTTGCAGAATGCAATCTGGGTCGGACATGGGATCAGTGTCAACTCGCAAAGCATCCCTGGCCTGCTCTCGAGTTGCCATAAGCAAGGGAGTTGGAGAACTGACGACGCAGCATAGCAGCCACAAACAGAAGCACATTCCGCACATGTCTTTCTCAAGGCTGTCTCCCAGGTTACCCGCAGCAGTCGCAGGGGAGTGATCTCTACAGTTCTCTGCAAGAATCTGAACTACTAATGGTCAAAGTAAATTGATAGTAAATAAGAGTTAATGGAATTTAAGGAGAGTTGGGGTTAGAGTTCTTGTGGGTACCAAGGGACTGAAGATGTGTTTGATACCTCCCTTGGATTCTGCCTGGTTATCTCCTACATAATGACTCTGAAAGAAGCATGAAAGAGATGAGATTGAGGCCTTCCAAACTAACTTTGAAGATACCTACCAAGCTCACTCCAAAGCCCAGAACATGTCTCATATGTGTCATCTCTTGATGGTTTACTCAAGCCAAATATTGGGAAACTGGTGCAGTCAGGAAAAAGAGGACTATCAACAGTTTAAAGGAATATTAATTAATTTTACTGTTTGATTATATTGGATTTACATTTTATTCATCTAACACTTTTCTTATTTTCTTCTGTTTTAAATAACCTAAATTTTTGAACACATGCAAAAAAGCATACAAAGCAATAATAATTGAAATCAAGAATTAAATGTTATGAGCTTAAGAAACAATTTCATTATCAGTTTCCACCTTTTACCATTAGATGCTCCTTGGTGTTTAGATCTGGTTGGAGGATGATAATGTAACATTTAGGGGAAAAATGCAGCCTAGCAGCCAAGTACCAGAGGACATGGCTCATAGGTGTCATCTCTTGAAGATTTACTCAAGCCAAATATTGGAAAATTCTGTGTTGTCAGAAAAAAAGGGCTATCTTAAAATGAATATTAATTATTAATGAATGTATTTTATTGTTTGATTATTATATTGAATACAATGTTATTAATCTAACACTTTTTATTTTCTTTAGATTAAATAAATAACCTAAGTTGTCAAACACAAACAAACAAAACATATAAACCAATAACAGCTGCAATCAAGAATTAAAAGTTATGTGCTTAGGAAACAATTTCAATTCCCAACTTTTACCATTAACTGTTCCTTAATGTTTAGATCTGGTCTGAAGATGATAATGTAACACTTGGGGAAGAAAATGCAGCCTAGCAGCCCAGCACCAGAGGCTAAGATGGAGAAGACCTCCACAGCCACCATGGACTTTCCTTTGCTGCTCAGGTAGATGACGCCTGCACTAGATAATTGAAAGTCAAGCTGACACTGAGGTAATGAAATAAAAATAACAAATAAGAGAAACTCTTTTACTTAAAGTTCTTCAAATCCCCAAATAAGTTACCCAGACATAATCCACATATTACAGGGTAAGGTCTATAAAAACAAATAGAGTTAATTACATTAGGTCTTCCAGCTGAACTGCATGTTCACAAGAATAAATATCAGGTACATTCACACACATGTATACACATCTCTAAAGTGTCACCCTAGACCCAGCACGTAGACACTTCCACACCCAGGACAAGCTCCCTTATTTAACTGTGTCACTATACCCAAGCTCCTTTATTTAACTGCAGCTGCTCCTAAAAGCAAACTGTTTTCTCTTCCTACCCCATCCTTTTTCTTATTCCTCTCTTTATGGAAGAATTTGGTTACTTTTAAAATTAAGAACAACAAAACGACCAAGCTTAGATACTGTACATCTTTTTTTTTAACATGCACATTGATCAAATGGTTCAGGATGAATCCATTAGTCTTTCCTCTGGTGTCACCCACCTCCCTGAGTAAAGATGGTCCCCTCCGGACAAGGAATGCAGTCACAGCAGCAAATTGGCTCTCCTTGCCGAGCCTTCTTGACAAATTCAGAATGATAATTTTCCACACATTTGGATTCAGTCAGAGACTAACCAGTAAAATAAGAAACAGCAAAGAAAATGTGTCAGCACTCACCATCCATGGAAAATGGAGATGGACATGAACATTGGCCAAGTGGTCTCTGGGCTTCACTTCCAAGCAATTGTAAGAAATAGAACTCTTCATTTAGTGCCTCAGGCTTTATTAGCATGCCATGTCATCAATGATATGTCCCTGAATATCAATGATCAGTGCTGAATATGACAAAAATCAGCTTAATACCATAGTCCAAATGATAGCAGCTTATGATGTTCATATCTGCAGCTACATCTCCATTTTCATCCAAATACAGTTTCAGCAGGGAAAGATTGCAGAATTCATTCTTCTCCAGAAAGGGGTGGAACTGGAGTGGAAAAAGCCAGAAATTTTAGGAGCAAAAGCACTAGTTTCTTACCCCACATGGTCATTTCTCATTTGAACATTTCTTTGGCAGTTATCTAATTTCCAAATACTCTCATTTCAGAGGACAAGTGTTATAGCTGTCTTCAAAAGTGAAAAGCAAGGTTATGCAAAATTTGTCACCTTGTATAGTGACTAAGTCTTGACAATAGATAATTGATAGAATTTCTCAATTATCAAGACTATTAGAAGGTCATAAATAAATTTAACAAAGAAGCAATAAAGAAGACTAATCTTCTCCCAGGTAAACCAAATGGGAAACAGGAACATATGAGCTAAATCTATTTTATTTATTGGAAGGCTAAAACTTGATTTGAATCAATGATTACAAAAGTATTTCTTGATGTGATGACTAGGAACTTTATTTATGCATTACATGAATAAAAATGGTCTTGTTTTGTCCTGGATAAAAGTGTAGTCAAATAATTTTCAATATTCATTATAAATATGAGGAATTATGAAAAACAATTTGTCATCTCTTGTATAGAATAGAATAGAATAGATAGCACAGGAGAGAAAGAGAGAAGAGGGAATGGTTTTATGTGAGGGGCAGGAGTGTGCACATGTGTGTCCACAGCTTCATTTGTGTGAGTGAAACTGCAAGCACTGGTGCCCACTACTTATGAGTGAGGTTTTGTGTACTGGTGCTCATTGCTTGCGTAAGTCAGGCTGCAAATGCAGGGTGTGAACACACCAGCTCGCTGCTCACATAGCCTGGTTGTAAATAGGCAATAAGCCAGGAGTGGGCTGTGGCCCACAGGTTAGGGACCCCTGGGCTGCCATCACTTATGCAAGCCAGAAACCATTTTTCCCTTCTTCTCCTTTTACTCCAGAAAACAAGGGACTCCCTCAGATGTCGTATTCAGCAGGTTCTGACCAGTTCTGGAGAACCGGTAGTGGAAATTTTGAGTAGTTCGGAGAACCGGTAAATATCATCTCTGTCTCCTGAGTCCCAGTTGATCGGGAGGAAATGGGGATTTTGCAGTAACCTTCCCCTGGAATGGGGAGGGAATGGAGATTTTACAGTATCCTTCCCCTGCATGCCCACCAAGCCATGCCCACAGAATTGGTAGTAAAAATTTTGAATCCCACCACTGGAGTCCTTAGAGGCTTCCCATGCCCTCTCTCCTGTGAGTGTTAAACATTTACACGCCACTTGTCCAGTCTCTACTCATCCTCCTGTTCCTCAGTCATTCTTGTGTACCATTACAATTTTCTCCCTTTATTTATTCAACTTATCAGAAGAAATTCTGGTTGCAGTTCTGAGCTGGGTCATGGAAGAAATGCACTGAATCAGCTGCTTGAAGAGTAAGTTGTTTATTCGATAACATGTAGTTCAGCAATCAAGGTACGTATAAAAATGGGAGGCTTGAAGTTAGTAATGTTTATACTAGAGTAGGTCTTTTGTGAGGTGTGTAAATGTGTTGATCAAGGTGTTTGTTCTAGTGGACTTCAGAGGGAAACATGCCTTCTGAGTATGTTAATTCCTTTTTTCTTGAGCGTATTTTACATGTGGAAATGTGCGGCTTTTACACGCTTCTGATGGGCCGCTCATGTAGCCGAATGAGAAGAAAGACACCAGACAAATCTCTCTTGGGGTGAGCTTTACTGGCTGGCTTCACTGGCCTGGCTTGGCTTGCCTTGGCCCCGAGCAATGCCTGTGGGGCTCTTTTTATTCGTTCCAAACAAAGAGAAGGTGTGTACAAATTGCATCAAAAAGCGCATGAGTAAATAATCCAATAATAATAATGCAGCGTGGCAAAAGGCTTCGTCTCTGGGCAAAAGAGGATAAGAAAAAGGGGGCTGCTTGTCCTTGGACAGGAGAAGATATATAGATGAGAAGGGAGGGAAGTAAAGAGATAGGGAGAG